ACCACACAAAACATGAAAACCACCTCCCAGACTGACCAGGATAACTAGTCACTGCACTGTATATGTGCCCTGCTGCTGCACCTGCCCCCTGCTAAAGGTGACTGTCCTGTCCAATGACCAAGCCCCTTCCCCCCCCTTCAGACAGACTCCCCTCCAAAAGAAGAGGATGGAAACAGAAATGAACAGAAACGTATTCTTTATTAACAACCGCACATGGAACGGGGGCGTGAAACTTGGACGGGGTCTTGTGTGAGGCGGGTAGGAAAGGACTTTTCAAATTTTGGGGAATGAGAGCCTTCTAGTGGTAGAGCAGTCCGCAGGGGTGGAGTGAAATTTTTCACGGCCCCTTCCACCCCTCCGTGTTTGGACTTTGGGTGAGGGGGGTATGGGACTTGGTGGCGGGGCAGGGCAGTTAGAGAGAGACTGCAGCGGGGCTCTCTCCTCCTGCCTCCGGTCCTGCAGAACATCCACAAGGCGGCGGAGCGTGTCCGTTTGCTCCCTCATTAGTCCAAGCAGCGTTTGAGTAGCCTGCCTGTCCTCCTGTCGCCACCTCTCCTCCCGTTCAATGTTTGCCCGGTGCATTTGGGACAAGTTCTCCCTCCACTGTGTCTGCTGGGCTGCCTGTGCTCGGGAGCATGCCATTAGTTCAGCAAACATGTCTTCCCGTGTCCTCTTCTTCCTCCTCCTAATGTGCGCTAGCCTCTGGGCAGATGTGGCTGTGTGAATTGGAAAAAGGGAGTGAATTCCTGAGACAGAGCAATGTATCTGTGAACAGAGAACATAGTCTTTCTCTGTGAACAAGACCATGCAGAGCACCTATCACACGCGCACTGAGGACAAGGTCGAATTTTCGGCCCTCTTCTACAGTGCCTGCGGTCTTGCTGTGGCGAGCTGAGGAGCAGGGCTGGACACCGGACTTTGTCTAGCTGGCAAACATGGTAAGCCGTAGACTTGTGGCCGCTTAAAACTTTAAGAGTGGCACTGGCCTCCTTTCACATAGAAAGCAATGCGAGTCTCTGCTGGCAGCAATCCTGCAAGCATGAACTCTGGCCCTGTCCCACCCCCTCACGGCTGTAAACCGCGTGGCTGTAAACCGGCGGTTGCAGTTCTGTAAAGGGACGGGCAAGCTGTCCCAATACTAACTTTCCCCTACCTAATTCACAGCAGGGAGTCATGCCAGACATCACCCTCCTGAAGGTCTCGGAGAGCCAGAAGGAGAAGATGCTCCGGGACAGCCTGCAGAAACCGGGTCCATTTGCTGCAATGCTATGCAAGGCCATGATCCCGGAGTACCTGCTGGCGTTGTGGCAGGGAAACGTGTCCTACCACGGGGGGCCTAATAAGCTCTCCCTGCCCAGGAACCTGCTCATGAGGCTGGAAAAACACCTGCAGGAGGCGTATGAGGAGTTCTCCCCGGAGGATTTCGCCTCTATCCCCGCTTACATTGACCAGTTCTTGGCTTAGGTGCCCTTGGAGGGACAAGTGACTGCAGGGTTTTGGGCACTATAATTGTCAAGGCTGGATCCCCACTTTGAACCTTAGGGTACAAATGTAGGG